CGGCCCTCCTCGTCCCCCAACGGGGCCCAAAGCTGTCGCCCTTCCCTCATCTCAGCCCCTGCCAAGTAGGCAGACCGCAATGCTTTGATAACACCCCGGGACACTGCTCGGCCGCCCGGTGCCGTATTCCCGTCCAGCAGCGCCCCCGGGGCCCGGGGGAGGGAACGGGAAGGTTGTGGGGGAGGGCGGCCCACTCCACCGCCGCTGCCGCCGCTCGGCCGCCGCCGGGCCGGGACAGGGCTGCCAACGCTGCCAACTCGCTGCCAGCGAGTCTTTTTCTCTGTGCCCCACTCTCCCACTCTCCCCCCGCACGTCCCAGTGGCCGCCGCTGGATCATCTCTCTGCCAAGTAGGAGGACGGGACGAGCAACCCCTCCTAGTCTTCATCTCTCTCTCTCACTCGCTCTCTCGCTCTTTCTCTCTTTCACCGGAGGGCACATCGCAGGCGGAAGCCTAGGCGTGGGGCGGGCGTTGGATGATGGTGGGGGGCAGACATCTTTATGCGCGTGAATGGACCATTGAGGCATTCAGCCTCGGCAGCGTTAATCGCGTGTGCCGGTGGTGATTTAAAAGGCGGGCGGCGATACCCTGGAGCCCACCACGCCCCGCCCCGCCCCGCCAGCCAGCCGCCCCAGTCTCTGTCCGTCCATATAGATCCTCCCCACACCGCACTCGGGCTGTCGTCGCCAACTCAAACAAAGTGGGCGACATGGATGCAATATTAATGTGGCATTCGTATTCCATGACCAGAAGCGCCGAGCCGGCGGGTCTGGCGGGGCGGGGCTGGGGATTGGGGGAGGGTATGGCGGCGGCCAGTCCACAGCGGCGGCGGTAGATTTACAGTACGGTCGGCTATTATTGAACGAAAAAAAAAATCCAAGCCGCAGAGCGGGAAAGGGGCTTTTCGGATACATATGAATAAAGGCTGTGTATTGTACGTCGTGGCCACCGCCTCGCTCACCCCCCCCCCCCCCCCCTCCCCCGGCCTTGGCGTGTGAGGTCACTCGGTGCCGGGGAGGATTTCACCCGCACAGCGCGCGAATAGATTTGTAGCTGCAAAGGATTTCACCTCCGCGGTCCCAGCCACAAACGATAAGTTGTGTGTTCATGTTGCTGCTGTTGCAGTCCGCGCCGATCTGGATCGTGAAAAAGTGGGATTTATTACTCCGTGCAAGCGGGCAAGAGGCGGGGCGGGGCGGGGCGGGGCGCGGCCGTTGTTCTTGCTCTGGATGCCGGAGCCGTGTCGCGAGGTCAGGAGAGAACTCGGGGCAAATAGTTTGCCTTGCTGCCGCGCGAAAGGAAGTGAATGGGGTGTACTCCAAAGGTTTCTTGGGGCGGAAGTAAGAAGAAGGAAACCGGAAGCCGCGCCGCAACGACCGCGTAAGAAACTCGTAGCGCGCGGTTTAGATTTTCGCCCGCTATTCGAAAGGACTTTCTTTCAGAAGCGGGAACGAACGTAGCTTAGCGCGAGAGTCAGAGCCGCTGCTCGCTGTGCTGAGTTTCATAAATTCATGGCTCCGAGTTCTCCCATTTTTTATTCCCCTCGGTTAATTTTTCGTGCAGGCGAGCTGGCATGATATACCAGATAGTACTTCGTTTCTGAGAGCAAGATATGTTCCTCCCTAAATCGAACTCTTAATCGGTTTTCGTCTCTTCTACTCGTTTTTTACCACGACTACTACTTCTAGTATAAGTGTTGAGCTCGGCGCCTGTGAGAGTCAGGGTCGGCCAACCCGCAGTACACGCATGAACTACGAGTGAGATGTTGCCTACCCACCAGGCGCTATGATCCCATCACAACAAACGAGATAGCTTTAAGTAAAATTACGAGTTTATTCCATCGCGCAAATTGAATTTGGTGTTCTACATCTTCCTTTTTTGATCACACACTCAGGAAAGCCTATTCGGTATAATTTAAAGTAATGCATAATTCATAATTATTTTGCTATGTAACCTCGATTTAATTTAGAAGGAAAGCTAAGTTCGTGAACGAATTACAATGCCGTGGACGAAAAAGTGTACACTCGATTCAAAAGCTGCGGCGTGGTGCTCACCTCCGCGGACGTGGACGTCCTTGGAGAGCACGGCGCCGGCCTGGTTCGAGGCGCGGCAGCGGTAGGTGACGGCGTGCACGTCCTGGCGGTAGCGGTCGCCGGGGAAGGCGGGCAGCTCGAGGCTGCCGTTGGGGTGCGTGTGCCTCAGCCCGGCCACGGGCAGCGCGGGGGACCCGTCCGCCAGCAGCCAGGAGATGCGCGGCGCGGGCGAGCCCGTCGCCATGCAGTCCAGCCGCAGCCCGGACGAGTTGGAGAAGGAGGCGCGGTGCGGCGGCTCCACGGTGAACACGGGGCCCTGCAGCTCGGCCGCGGCCGCCGACGGGCACAGCGCTGCGGACAGAACAAGGAGAGAGCGAGCGCTCGTTAGCAGTGCGAAAGAGAGACAGACAAAGGGGGGAGCGTTACAATAAGAAAGGAGGAGAGGAAAAGCAGAGGAACGCTGACAATAGTCCCCGAAAACAATTTTTTTCTCCATATGTATAAGCCTGCAATATAGTCTGTTTACCGGGGACCCCCTGGGGAATACGACAGCGAGGAGACGACGACGAAGAGGACGAGGGAGAAGAGGAGGAGGGGGAGGAGGAGGGGGGGG